ACTCCATCAGGTGACCCAAAACTCCATCAGGTGACCCAATGGTGTCCTAAAACTCCATCAGGTGACCCAAAACTCCATCAGGTGACCCAATGGTGTCCTGCGCCGTCTCTGTCCGGCGGTCTAGCTGAAACTAAAGATTGAAAGATAAAGAAAAAACTTTCAGCTTTATGAAGGTAAATGGCACCTAAACTGAGGCTCTGCTTGTTGGCACTAGATCTGTTGTGTCTAAATCTGATTGTTTTTCATTCTACATTGACAATACTGAAATCTGTCCTTCATCACAGGTTAAAGTTTTGGGTGTTAATAATATCCAGTCAAGTATAGAGCCTAAGGGACTCTCTTTCTCTTGACGTTCGCAATAGCGAGTGCTTGTTGACTTTTAAAACGCGTCTAAGACGTATCTTTTTATACCGGCTTTTTTATAACACGTTTTACGGAGACTTTACTGCACTTGATCTGTATATGCGACTTGTTGGTTGTGTGTTTTGTCTTATGCGGTGACCTGTATATTGCTTGTGAGGCGTTATGAAAAGCGCCATTAAATAAAATGCATTATTATTATTAATTTAAAATCAGGTAAATTCTGCTTTGCACTTTTTGACAGAACTTGAAAAAGATATTTAAAAAGTAAAACAACATCATCTTTCCCTCATGTCGTTTAAACCGTTCAACTTTCTTCTGTGGAACATAAATGAAGATATTTTAAAAGTGTTTTTGTCCTTACAGAGAAAGTCAATGGGGTCCAATATTGTTCAGTTTCCTAATGTCTTTCAAAATACCAGAAGAAAGAAGAGGTCAGTTTTGAATGACATGAAGGAGAGTAAATGATGATTTGAATTGGATATGTCCAACTTTTGGTCCAAAAAGTAAAAAAAAAAATATTAAAATTAAAAAGGAAAACTGTATTGTAACTGCAAAAAGAAGGTTTGAAGGAACGAGATCCAGACGACTGTCCCGAATCATCAGCTCAAACTCTTAAAACAGAGTGAATCAGCTTTCTTACAAAACACACACACACACACACACACACAGCGCTATAATTAACCCTCTTGCCCAATGACAAACGGCATACAGTAAAGACACATTCATTCTAACAAGAATCACCCACATCTTTCTGCTCATCGCTCTCATCACATGTTCTTCATCACATGTTCATCACATGTTCTGCGTGTCAGGATTGAGTTACTCTACAATCATTTAAAGGGGAATTAGCCCCGTTTAGAGAAGGAAAGTGTGTTAAACTGAGACAGAGAGAAGTGTCGACATCAGAGCCGCAACATCACAATAAAACAATACTGCATTCAACAACACACACACACACACACGAACGGTGTGTGTAATTTGGATTCTGTGAAGACAGACAGACGTATGGAAATAAAATATCTGTTTTCTGTTTGTGTCAGAGCGGATTCTCACGTCCCACTGCTGCTCTGACAGCTCACGCCGTTCTTCCCCTCTCAATACGACAATATGGTTTCCTCAGTGTGTGTGTGTGTGTGTGTGTGTGTGCAGCAGTTTTCCATCAGAACATACATGACAACAAGAGGCTATGAAGGGGAAAATCTGCAATTCGAGCAGGAACACACACACACACACACACACAACACACAACAACAGCGTCTGAGGAAAATCTCACAACAAAACATTTCAACCGCAAACGGCAACAGGTTTCATTTGAAGGGTTACGGTGTTTTTAGGTCTTTAGCGGTTTATTAAATTACAGTTTTTGAGAGTCTGATGCCCTCTTAATCTCACACACACACACACACATACACACATTAATGGACAACATGAAGGATTCATATTAGTAAAACTGAATGTTACCAAATCAAACGCTAAAAGAATTGTTTTCTATTATAGAGTTTGATCAAATCATTATTTTTGTCTATTTATGATAAATTCTTTTACATATTCAGACACACACACACACACACACACTTGATTGTGTATTTCTTTAAGATTAATTGTTTTATTACTCATTTGTAAATTGCTTTGATTAAAATCTGCAACTGAATGAATGAAAGCACATGTAAATGTCATGAACACACACACACACACACACGCACACACATGTAAATGTCATGACGAACACTTTACTTAGTTTCAACAACAAAATAAATGTGTGTTTTGATCAGATTTACATGCAAACATAAATAACAGAACCAAACGATTTTCGTAAGAGAAAATTAAAAAGTTCAATTAAAGTAAAATTAAAGTAAAAAGTAAAGTAAAATTAAAGTTTCATATTCAAGAATTTGATAACTAATGTTTTTGAATAAGAAATGTATTTTGTTAACTGGTTTACTCTAAAATATAAAAACAATCACTTAGTAGAATTATTTCTGATAGAATTAACATGACAAGCTTCTTCTGAATCATTGGGTTATGTTTATTTAAAATGAAATCATTTAAACTTTAAATGTTATCAGCATCACCATTTTCATTTCAACTCTTCATATTGTAATAAATTGTGTTTTATTAAAGCCTGACTAGAATATATGTTTTAACATTGTTCAAATATTTTAATTGCATGTTGTTTATTCTAAAATATTTGATGCATTTCCTAAATGTGAGTTTGTTCAGTTCAAAGTTTTCTCACTGTGACATTTAGAGAAGGTTTCAGTTTCTGTAATAAGCGTATATGAACTCCACAGCGCTGCAGGTTTGCCATCAGAAATAAGGATGTTTATGTTAAACATAAAAACGCCATCGATTGTTTCAAGAATACAGTTTT